CCTTCACAAAATGTGCTAAGAGACTTATGAAGAATTAAAATAAACTATATTTATTACTGATAACAACTTTGATAACTACCCATAATTTTGTATTAAACTGTTTCAACATTGGAATTACAATACAGACAGTATTTTTTTTGTGTTTCAGCAGCTTCAGAATATCTAGAGGGGTTTTATTTTGGAACTTTCAGTGAATGCTTAAAGTTGTACATTTGTTGACAGCCATAGATTAGGAGGTCGAATGATTAATTCTGTTAGCTCTTACCACTTGGAATCGAAATTCTGAATTTCTGGCACTAAGCAGTTAGTATTTGGCCATCCCTTATTCAGAGCACCAAATAGTTAACATGGATGTCAAATAAAACTCTACTTTATGTCACCCTTAAATCATCCTAACTCTTCCAGACAAAAGCAGATGGCATTTATGGGTGTAAGCCATTGGATTTGCAGTTGACTTTAATGAATCCCCCTTGATTCTTAATATCGTCAAGTATTTATGTTTTAAACAGGAGGTAGGAGTTCTGTGTTAAGACTCTTAATTTATTTGTATCCTATACTTAAAATGGTTTTTATGATTATCTCTTATTTCCTTTTTTGAAATAAATTGTTATGAAGAAATTTTTATAATCCATCTTGGAAAATTAGAAAGAGAAAAATGGCAGGGTATTTTGTTCTGTTTGCCATAATTTGGAACTCACACTTAAATATTTTGTAGTTTTACATTCCTTTTTAACCCATTCAGTGGAGAATGTCAGCTTTTCTCCCAAGTTGTATGTTAAATCTATTCTAATATGTACTTAACATGAAGTATAAACATGTAATAAACTTGGAAATAAAGTTTAGCTCTATTAGTGAAATGTTAAATTTGTGTGCTTCAAGTAATGCCATTTCCAGACCTACCTTTTTAAGGTATTCCTCCCATTCAAAGAGTGAGAGGGTGAGAGACAGGGAAGTGTCAGGATTGACTCCTATTTTCTGCCTTGCACAACTGTGTGAATGGTAGTGTCTCTTACTTAGAATGCTGGAGGGATACCAGATTAGGGAGAAAGAGCACAATTCCTGTGTTAAGATTTGAGATGCCTTTCAAGACATTTAAATGTAGCTATTAAGTAGGTAATTGGTGATACAGGTTTGAGGATGGAAAGTGTGGCTTTGATGTACAGGAGGTCAATGAACGCACATAGTAAAGGATACTTCTCCAGGGAGGGTATAGAGCAGGAGTTGGCAAACCCCAGGCCATAGGCTAAATCCAGCCTGCCATCTATTTTTGTAAATAATTTATTGAAACACAGCCACACCTATTCATTTAATTATTGTCTTTGGCTGCTTTCATGCTGCAGAATTGAGTAGTTGTAATAGAAAAATTATGGCTGCAAAGCCTAAAATAATTTACTGTCTGACCCGTTACAGGAAAAGTGCCAATCTCTGCTATAGAGTATAAAGGGGATCTAGGGCAAATTATGAGTAACTCTTGAAGGTTATGTAGCAGAGCATGGGCAGGCCAAGGAGACTCACAGGCATAGCTAAAGGGATGAAAGGACAAGCAAGAAAAGTCAAGTCACAAGGGCCAAAGGAAGGGTTTTTGAGCTCAGGTGTTGAATATTGCTGAGGGATGAAATAGAATGAAGAACTTAAACAGCTCCTGGATTTAGCCACCTAGAAATAATTGGTGCATTGGAGACATTCCCATCCAGATAGTAGAGGAGGCAGATTTCAGAAAGAAGCTCCCTTAAACAACTCCATGAATTTGGGATGTGTAAAGGAGAAGAGAATGGGGCAGCAGTGTCTTTCTTTCCCCCTCTAGCTATGGCTTTATCTTTGAAAAAGGTCCAGGAAAGAGGGAGGAGTTGGAAATAAGAGCAAAAAGGGTGAGGATTTGGGGTTCCAGAGAAGGTAGGGGCAGATAGGATGCACTGGTAGGAGATTGGCTTTAAATGGGAGGAGATGCTTCTGTTCCAAAAGAAAAGGATGGGTGCAGATGCATGCTTTGGTTTTCTCTGAAGCCAGAGGCCAGATTCCACTTGCAGGTGGTTTGCATTCATTTATGTTCACTCTAGAGAAAGGAAGCATCATACTTCAGTTGGTAACAGAATCCAATTAGAAACACAGTTATCCTGACCTGCTTTATTTATTTTTTAATTCTGTAATTGGCTACTGAGCTGTTAATTTCTTTGAGATAAACCAGGGAATGCATTTTGTAGTTTTTATTAAGGATTAACTATTGTGCTTACGAGCCCTCTTGATGAATTTGCTACAAGTTTAATTCTGATTAGGTCTTCCTGAATAGCCGGAGGTGTTCTACCAGATCTCTGAGCCTGGAAAAAAGACTCTTATCTTCAACCTCTTGTTTTCCAGTCCTTCTTCCTCCACCAACAAACATGTTCCTGTTTCTTGCACCCTTTAAAAAAGAAAAAGTAACTCCGCTCTAGTCTCATTTCTCCATTATATCAGACTTCTTTATTTATTGCCTCCCTTCCTGCACACTCATCTCCCATCAGGTTCTCACCCCTTACTAGACAAAACAGGGACCTGATTGCCCATTGAGTATATTATCTGAGGTGTCTTCTGCATTTGCCACTGCTAATAATTCATTCCTTGAAACTTCTTCCTTCTATAATGTTCTTGGGTCTTCTAATCTCTGTGACTGTCTCTGGGCTCTTCTTCATATAATTTTAAATGTTGGCACATCCCGTTTATCTCCATGTTCCTCAGATGGTCTCAGCTATGAGCAAAAGCCTCCGTGAATTTCTATCTCCAGCCCAGACTTCTGAATCTCTCTGCCTGCCTAGTTTACATTTCCTCTCTGACACCTACTCAAGTGCAACAAGATCAAGCTTACCATATTCTCCCCAAACTTACCAGATTTATTCTGATTCTCTACCTCATTTGGCAGTTCAACAGCTCCCCAAGTGCAACTTCCCTCTCCATTACCCCACACATTTAATCAATCACATAGTCCTGTTGACTTACCTACTAAGTAATGTTATAAATGTGTGTCTTCTTTCTAACTCCTGTTTGAGGCTCTCAAATCTCTTCCTGAAATACAGGTTGAGCATCCCAAATCCAAAATCTGAAATGCTCCAAAACCTGAAGTTTTTGAGTGCTGACGTGATGCTCAAGGGTAATGCTCATTCGAACATTTTGGATTTCAGATTTTCGCATTAGGGATGGTTAACCAGTAAGTATAATTCCAAAATCTGAAAAAAATCTAAAATCCACAACACTTCTGGTCCCAAGCTTTTTGTATAAGGGATAGTCAATCTGTAATATGAAAATTATCTAACTAGTTTTCCTATCTTCAATCCAGCCTCCCTCTACTCTGCTACCAGAATATTCTAACAAAATCTAATAGTGTCTGCCAGTCTCCTGCTTAAAGCATCTCAGTGTTCTCTTTAACCTACAGAATACTGCTCAGAATCCAGCCCAACCCACAAACCCTGATCTGCCCTTACATGTATAGCCTCATGTCTTCTCTTCATTTTCCGTGCCAGCGTCACTGGCTTGCTGTACCTTACATGCATGTACACGTACACTGTGCCATTTTCTCCATTTTTCTGCCTTTGTGTGTTCTGACCCCTGAGCTAGGAATGCCTTCGCTTTAGGAGATAACAGTTCCAAGGAGCCTTCAACAACTCATCTGCCATCCCCCGCTTACATGTCCTTCATCTGGCCTCTGTAGGCATTGAGTATTTCTAAAATAGCACTTATAGGTCTATATTTTATATGAAACATATTCATCTATATCTT